TGTTTTACTTTTAAGTTGAGGATGCTAAGTAAAGTCTAAAGAATACTATAAGCCTGAGTATCATATGGAAAGACTTTTAGAAGGAGAAGTTCAGACCAGGCTGGGTTACCTGCCTTGGTGCAGCGAAGCGCTACCTCTGTGTTTCAGATGTGGTGAGTGGAGCCTCAGCCAGTGCCAAAACGTGGACCTGGCACCCACCTCTAATAGGGAATATGAGCGTGTGAGCATCTGAGGATGGGCTCCAGGGGTCTCTTGGTCCCAGTTTTTTTGGCCAAGGAGGCCATTACAGCCCTCAGTTATTTTCATGGCTCTATGATGTTTTTAATTAAAAGGCTTATAGGGCTGATACTCATTTGCCATGACTGCAAGGTAGTGTGTAATAGCTTGAGACTGATGGGCCCAGATCAGGGAACAGACTGGTAGCCACAGTCTGAGTTGTTTTGTAGGTGCTGCAAATTAAACCTTAGCCAAGTAAATTAAACACAGYATTTTTAACTACCGTATGTGAATCTTGAGACTTCAGGATTGGAACTGTGCCAAAGAGGGKTTTTTTTCCCCTCCTTAATATGATATTTTCAGATTTTTTTCTTCCTCACCCTTTTCTGATCTGTGGCTGGTGTAGTAATCTCTGTTTTTGTGGTGGGAAGAGAATTTTTGTAATTAAATGTTATGKGTAAAAAATAAATAAAGTATTCTGAAATAAGACATTAATTATATGGTGTGTGCAAGTCTTTTATCCTCATTGTATGGAAGTGTTTATAACCCTCACTCTGTAATCCATTAAAGATACTTCCAAAGTAAATGGAGTACTTAAAGGTACTGTCTGTGAACGTGAAATAGCACCATTAGCACCAGCAATTGAATTGTATTTTTGCATTGCTACTGCTGGGCGACATCAGTTTGCACTTGTGGTAGAGAAGACATTGAACGTGTTTTTTCTAGCAAGTAGCTTGACTGTTGCCTGGAAGCTGAATGAAGCAGTATAGATCTGCGGACCGTTTTGAGCTTAAGCAAAACTAATTCAGGTTTCATAAACTAAAAAGGCTAAAAGCCTAAACTAAAGGCTTGAGGGCATCGGTGGCTCCTTTCCAGTGCTGTTCATCCCTTGGCTGTGTGAGCTCTGCTTCCCGGTGCGCTCCGCGCGCAGCGTCCGGAGGAGACCAGGGCCTGCTCTGTGCTTACCCTGTGCTGTGTGTGCGGATCCGAGCTGGTGTTTCCTTATAGCAGGGAGGAGGAAACTGCAAAAACCTGCACTTTGCCCAGCCAGACCAGCCTCTGGGGAGGGCTTGTCCGCATGAGTGCAGATCATGGGGCTTTTTCCCCGGCTCTGAGAGCAATCAAGATCAAGATGCCTGCTCACTGCATGCAATATAAATACATACATTAGTGTGCAATCTCCTCTGCCCCATCTGTACAAGCAGAGCTCAAGGAACACCTGAGGGTCACAAAAATTCAGGAAAAATTCTTCACGTCTGGAAGCTTCATAAGGAGTCACAGGAACATGGTGTGGGGAAACAAGCYTCTGTGAGGGTGGAGAGGTAAAAACATTGAAGAGGTAAAAGCAAGGAGAGRCAGACAAGGTGGATGGTGGTCATGGTGAGGCACAGGGCCGTGGTTAGGAGACGGATCATATATTCTGTATTTGAAGTGACTAGTGGCTTTCTGAAGAAGAAAACCTGCATGAGCTGTGGATTGGTTATGGGAAGCAAGGAAGGGGAATAAATGCTTCAAGAGATGGTAGGAAACATCTCTAATGAACATGGATTTTGCATARCTCTAGGCAGAAAGCATTTCTCTTGGTTCTTCGTCGTGCTTGTCTGAGTTTTCAAAGTTGTAGTGCAACAAATACCAATTATAAACTTTTTATTTTYATTTCCCATCATGATTGTCTAGCAAAACTTGTTTTTATGTTAGAATGTCTAGGTGTACTTTGACGAAGAAATGTTTTTGTGCCATGTTTGTGTAAATAAACATGACAGTGGTAAACATTCTTATGATCTTTGAATCCACACAGATTTAATATTTTGTTTTGCGAGCTATTCTTAGCTTAAAGCGCTATTCTGGTGTGGCTGCTGTCAGATAAAAATAACTCTTCGCCTTGTAAGATCCTTTTCCTTCCTGCTGCCTTGCAGTTTTAATGAAATAAGTACTTTATTGAGTTGGGATGCTTATAAAATCAGAAGAGCACGTAGGAAGATTGCTAAAGCAGAGCTAGCTGGTGTTACGTGGGTGGGAACGCTAGTGCTGTGCAGGAGCGTTAAACAGTCGAATGACTTGCACCTCTAAGTAGTGATCTTTGAYGTCCGCAGGACGTGATTTGAAGAGTTTTAGGTATTGGAAACAATACAAGAGCAGCGTTAACTGGTTTTCCGGTCTGTTTTCTATGTCCTGTTACCAACGATGGTTAAGTAGGACCCGGCAAAAGGGCTGGTTCCGAATGGATCCTCTTGCAGGGACTCCCYTGCCTTCTGTTGGGGTGAAGGGGCTGCCCAAACCCTGCCTGGGTTTTACAGGTTCACTGCTGCCTTGCAAACCTCCTTGTCAATTTGTTAGGAATTTAACTCATATTTTGTAAGCTTTCTTTTGCTTCCCTGTAGAAACAGTTGAATTCATACTTCAAGAATTCAAGAAATCAAGAAAAAGAAGTAGCCTTCTATTTTATTGTTCTCCCACTCTATACACATCAGTCTCCCTGCCCGTTTCCCTCTTTCTTCACTGTTCATCTATAGCATTTATAATAAGCAGTAATACTGCATTGCTGAGTGTTCTGATTTCTCTTCACTCTCTTTTTTTTCTTGTTGACACTGTATGTTATTTGAGATAGGTGCCAAGATGCTGCTTGCAGGATTGAAGATAAATGTCTGTGTCCTTTTTCAGTTACACTAAGAGGTTTGAGATAATTTCCAAATTATTTAGTTTGGCTGTTGTGTGCCAAACTAGCCTTCTGTGGAAGCTGCTTCTGTTGTCTGAGATCTTTGCAGTAAGTGATGAAAATGATCAGTTCCTTTGTCTGAGCTATCTGGAAAGAGCAATTTAATGGTTTGAAAAATGTTCAGGATGATCCCTTCTGTCACAAGGTAGCTTCTCTCTCACCATGGTAATAGCAGTATAATCCCTATGTTTTAAAATTGGAGGTGTTCTTTCTTTTGTCAATCCAACTGCAAACCCTCAAACTTTGGTGAAAGACTTAAATAAAAAGGCAGCAAACATTCTCCTGATTTTGTCATCTAACCCACTCATGCAAGCACAGTGTGTTTATGAAGACCATAATATCTTCATTTGTTTCCATTTCAGTCAAGATTACACATTTTGGTTGCTACACAAAGAAATGAATTTCATAACTTAAACTATTTGAATAATAATATAACACTTTGAGTAGAGGGCTTAGTAGGAAACCTCTTAACCACCTTTCCAGCCCTGTATTTGCTGTCTTCTAGATAGATGTTTGTGATGTATTTCATTAATGACTTTCTAGACATACAGAGCTTTTGTAAATATTAAGAGTACTGTTTTTTTTTAATAATTCAGCTCTCAAACAGCTGGCTGCTAAGTGGAAGCAACACCGTCATGTTCCTGGAAATCCAGGTTTAAGGGCATGCATTGATGGCTTTTTTTTTTTTACATCTAAGCGTATTTAGCAGACTTGAGATGTATACATCTAGGGTATCTCTGTACATTGGCAGCCTTTGTTTGCAAGTAGTATCGAATGGCATTGCTTATGATTCAAGCTAGTCGTTATTCAAGGTTAGGATGAGAGTCCTGTGAAAGGCAAAGTTCTTTCATATTTCTTGTGGCTTTCCCCAGAGCATCTCGAGGTAGGTATTTTCGCAGATGGGATCACAGATTCCCTCACTAGAGGGGTTTTGGGAGGCCTTTCTGTATCACACCTAGTGTTTCCGTCATCATTTCTCAAAAGACAAGTTAATTCTCAAAGTTATTTTGTCTTAAATATTGTTCTTGCATTAGTAACATTTTTTATGGAGTGTYGGCTACTCCATAATAGAAGTTCTCATCCCACTGCAAGTAAAAGCTTCAGCTCCCCTTAATTTTGTAAATAAATTTGTCTTTTGTCAGTGTTCAGTAACGTTAAGCTTCCCTTAAATTGAAAAGTGAGTTTTAAAACTGACCATACTTCCTCACAGTTTTCAAGAAATAAAGTGCAGAAGTCAGTAAGTGTCTTTCTAGGTAATGAATAGATTTATGGAGTCAGATACTTCGTTCTACCCTGCAGGCAGGTATCTGTCAACATAGAAATACAGATAAAAAGCATGTTAGATGTGGCATGGTTCACAGAATAGATCTGGTTTGTAGTTCTTCAGTTTATATAAGAGCAGTCTGCATTAAGTTACCAAAACATATTACGTATATTTAGAGATTTAAATGACAACATGGTAGACATATGGTATCTTTCTAAATATTTTATGGAAAAAGTTTCATTGTTGTTTGGTTTTATTATAATCAAGTGGAAAAATCTGTTCCGTACGTTCTCCCGATTGCCACTTTTCTGTCTGATTTTTCTGTTCATTTACTGTATGCTACAGATTTTACTGAATCCTGATTTCAGATTATTATTGCTTCATTGGTGCCAGGTTGTTTATGAATGTAAAATAATTTTAACATTTCTCAGGAAATCCAGATGATCCTGTGTGATGCTGGAAATGTCAAACACTTGAGGGGCAAGAAACGTAATTGTACTRTTTTAACTACTTATAAACTACACTTAATATCCAGCAGTTGCTGATTCCTTGCTGTATTAGTTTATATCACTTGTCTGATGTTCTGTGCTCTTCAAAGAGCAGAGTTTATGTTAAAACTATTTGGGGATGGATCTGTTTCTCCTTTTTATTTTCAATAAACATGGTGGTAGGCTCCCTGTGCTGCTTGAGATTGAGTTAGGGTAGCAAGGACAGGTTAATGAACCTGCGAAAAACGCAGTTAAATCTTTTTCACTTGTTTTCAGCTGTAGAGGGAAATCTCTCACTCTCTCTCGTTCTTCCCAGGGTTACACGTCCTTCTGGAACGACTGCATCTCGTCGGGCTTGCGGGGCTGTATGTTAATCGAGCTGGCGCTGAGGGGGCGTCTGCAGCTGGAGGCCTGTGGAATGAGGCGCAAGAGTCTCTTAACGAGAAAGGTAAGCAGGGAAAAACACAAAATGCTCCAGGCAATACAGTAACTCACAGGTGCTTGTGAGGAAAAGACCTTTTCTTCCTTGTTTTTATGGGATAAGGATCACAAGCAGTGCCTTGGGTTGCTGTTGGGATCCTCGCACAGTGGCTGGCAGAGGCCATGGCTGGAGTGCGGCCCAGAGCCAGGAGCCTCAGGTGTGGGTGGGTGACAGAGCCCTGGMACAGGCTGCCCAGGGAGGCTGTGGAGTCTCSTTCTCTGGAGGTCTCCAAACGTGCCTGGATGCCACCCTGTGCCCCGTGCTCTGGGTGTCCCTGCTTGAGCAGGGAGGTTGGACTAGATGATCTCTWGTGGTCCCTTCCAACCTCAGCCATTCTGTGTGATTCTGTGTGACCTGCTGAGGCCCTGGCTGCTGCAGCGGCGCTGGGCTCTGCGCTGGGAAGGGGCAGCCCGTGAGCACCGAGCCCCAGGGAACACGAGCCCCTCCCTGCTTTACACAGGGGTCCGGAGGCTAAACGTGGTGTATATCCCTAATGCTAGGATGGGCACGTTTTCCATACCGTATGGAATTAGGCTGAAGATTTGAGGCTTTAATTTGTTACTTCTGCAGCTGGATTATTCCTTAGTGTAAAATATTTAAAGGTTACACTGGCAAATCTTTACTTCAGTGGAGTTAGTGGATACTTCTGAAAGAGATTTATTGAAAAAACATGGTTGACTATTGCCTATTCACCACAAAKAAATTTATTTCTCTGGCAGACTTCCCTGTCAATATTACCTTTTGCTAATTTTTTTTTTTAATGGAAAGTTTGAAAATTCTCCAACCCGCTCTGAAGAATTGAACCTCTGTTCAGACAAACAGCTCCTGCTTCTCCGAGTTTCATTTGAGTAATTCAGCTTTGATTAGTTTGCACAAAAATTTTTCCTCCAAAGCTTTTGGCTTCTTAGGCATTCAGGAATGTTCTTCAGCCGTTATTTTCATTCTACACAAACCTTGTCAGATCAGTCTAACTGAAATTTTAACTGTGCTTTTTAATAAGTTGGAAAAATAACATGTGCATATCTCCAGTAAAAAATAAAAGCCAAGCTTGTCTTGCATTTCTAAAAGTTTTATTACAAGTGGGTTTTTTTGATTTGTTTAAGGAGTTAAACACTACACATTATTAAATACTTTCCTTTGTGTTGTTACAACAATCCTGAGGTTTTTTTTACAAGCAGAAGAGTTCTACAAAAAAGGCCTAATATGAAATCCAAATAAAGTTTGATTTATGCTTAAAGAATTGTCTGCAGATAAAATCCCTGAGTCTGATATATACAGTGTGTCTTTCCTCATCTCCTCCCAACTCTTCAGTTAGGAAACCATTCTCRAGGACAACTCCCACTGCTCTGACCGTTACTTGAAGTCTTGCATTGTGTAATGCCACATTTCAGTCTTGTGTTTGTTTTTTCTTTCTTTGCTTTTTAGATTTCAGTGTCTCATCTATGAAGTCCCCTCCACCCTTTTGTAAGGGAATTTGTAGGCCTTGTTTACCTTGCTCCCGGCTTTTTCCTGGAGTCAAATGTTGTGCTCAGGGAGTGGAATGAGCTGTCCAGTTGTATCCAAGGCTCAGTGAGGTGGGAACTTCAGTACCATTTTGTGCAGCTTTGACCTCTCAAGCTAGGCTTCCTCCTGTCCCCTGCCAACTCTTCCTGGGACTCGGTGGTTAACTGCTCCTTAAAGCAGCAGTTGTTGCTCAGAACCCCACGTCTTCAAGGCATAGGCTGTAAGAAGCAGTATAGGCTTTAGTCATTTTAACTGTGATGCACCTGGTAGGAGTCGTCCTGTCTCTCTCCAGTCTTCTGATATTGCAGAGAGGCTTTTCTGGTTTTGGAGCCTTTTGGGTTGTTACTAGTGTTCGTGCAGCCATGTAGCAGATCAGGTAAGTATCCTGGCTGACTGCTTGTTCTGAATGCTGGTGATTTTTGTGATGAGTTTTGACTTGAATCGCTTCCCTGATATTGTCAGCAGGTGGTACCTGGGGGAGACTGCTGGGACAAGGGACAAGGTGAGAACTGGAAGAGAAGGTCCTTTTTCAGGAAGTGGTTTGGATTTTTAGCCAGTTACAGCAACCGTCTATCTCTTGCCGTAGCTTACTAAGAAGATTGCCAACTACAGCAGTTTCCTTTTCAAGCCTTAAATCAGACAGATGCTATCAATTACCTGTTGCAGTTTCCAAGGCATAGCTTCAAGAAGTAGTCAGAATTAAACAGATTAAATCCATGCCTGAATGTCATAGGATGCAAATGAGACAATGAAAAACTGGCAGAGATGGCAGTGGTGAACTTTTTCTGAAACTTATAAAATGCCACAAGACATAGTTTATGTTACAGCATTCTAGTATATTTATTCTCAACACAGAGCATCATTGCAGTAGTTCTACCTAATGGTAGCACTTCTGGAAACAAATAAAAGTGGAGAATTCTGTATAAATAAAGTCATTACTAAGAATGGTGGTTGCTTGAAGATAGAAAAGACTACTCCGTTCTGCCCTACGATCAGAGAAAGCAACTCAGTAATTAAAGTTATAAAAAAAATCCCTTGATGGGTTAGTTGGCGATTCTGAGTGTTTCGTGCTTGAGTTAATTTTGGTGTTATCAAAGCTAAACAGCAGAGAGCTCACTTAAAAACCAACACAAGAGATGTTGAATCATTAACATCACTTAATTGCAAAGCTGCATGGTAGAATCCACAAATTAAATACTCTGTATAGTTGAAATGTCCTCAGCAGTTGGAGACAACTAGCATTTGTATCTAGCATTTATAGATCTAGATTTGTATCTAGCATTTTATAGATCACTGAAAAATTAGAATAAATACAGATTTTTGTTGATTATTTTCAGTAGGGCTGAGGACTGTCATCTCACAATTAGCTTTTCAGCTGCTTTCTCTACCTTAGCTCATCTATTAAAAGAAAAATCCATCATTGTGGATACTTGATGCTCTGTGATGATTCAGTTCATGAGATCCTCAAGCAACTTAACACAGAAGAAGGAAACTGTGACTTCTAGTGTGAAAACTCTGGAGAGAAGTAATAATGGTCAATAAATCCTCCTTCAGGAACAAGCAGGACTGTGAGCACTGAAGGTGACTGGGCCTCCTGCTGCCTTTCCCCATGGAAGGGTCTCTGTGGAGAGGGTGGGGAAGAGGAATATCATGGCAGTGTGATCCATGATATTCCTATTCCGAGCTAGTTTGAGGCAAAGGATAAGTTCAGTGGAAGAGCCCATGTTCCTTACAGCTCTTTGCTCTCAATATGTCTGTGTTTAGGCTCATTCTGGATTATTTTCAAGCCATCTGTTTAAACTTCCTTTCTGGTGATAAGAAAAAAATATCTTGAAGAACCCATTAAAAATAAGCAAGGAAAGCTGTTTTCTAAACTTATTTTTATAAACCTATTATTTCAAAAATGCTCTGAAGCCTAGGTGAGATCTCTTCAAAGTGAGTCTTTTTTATATGTACATATAAAAACCAGGTCTATAACATGATTTCACATCTTACCTCTTTAAGCTTCATGATGTGGTGCATAAGAGGTTCATAACTGCAGCGGAGTAAAGATATCCACAATGACTAAGGTTTACTGTGAAATTAATCATATGGGGCAAATCTAAGATAGGAAAGTACATTTGTTTGCCAGAATGTCAGTTTTATAAAGAAGGGAAGATAATTTTGTAGTGGTATTTTCATGTTAAGAAAGAATATGAAAGGAAGGGCATGGATAGAGCTGAACCTAGCGGCTTGAAAGTCCAAACTGAAGTAAGCTCCTGTGTAATTAAAGAGGACAAACTTGATATTTTCATATAAAACTTGAAGCTAGTTTTTTTTTTATGCAGTTAATAGTGGTTTCAAGTGCAGCCATGTTTTAAGTTTTTAAAATGGAAAGATAAATCAGAATATAAAGAAAATATAAAAATAAATATAAATTGTTATATGTTGACTTTTCATTAGGAATTGTCTGGATTAGAGTGTAATTGTATTTTTAAAACCAAATATCAGAGTTCTACGGTTGGAGTGATCTCCAGCTCCCAGAAGTGCGGGTCTGGACTGTATCTTAACAGACCAGCTAATCTTACTGCAGTAACTGAAAATCTGGTTTCTCTGATCTCTCCCTGGCAGATGTTTATCTTGAAGTTCTCCACTGAATGCAGTTCAGTGGCCTCACTGTGGAGTGCTTGACAATATATATCCTACATCTTCATGTTTCCAAAAGAAGCTGATATTTCTTCCTAGCTAGACATCCAAGCTAGTATCTTGGTATAAAAATCTTAAGGACTTTATTTTGAGAACTGAACAAACCTACCTTTTAATCTTTCCCTGTGTCGTTGTGTTTGTTGTTGGTTTTACTAAAATCTTAGTTTCTTTGCTTTTGTGTCTACTGATTTGGATGTCATCTTTCAACATTGATCTGTTGTTCAGAAAGAATTCTCTCATACAATACCACTGTTAATACTATTTAGAGGGAAATTTATACCAAAGGACTTGGCTTTTGAGTTCATAGTCAATTACTGTGACTACTAGAACTTCTTTTTTTACTGTCATTTTGCACCATATACTTGTTATTACTTGTTTTATGTTTGTCTTCTATATTTGCATCCCAACAATGCCCCTTTACTTTTCTTCTTAATTTCCTCTCACGGGCTTTCAGTGTGACTGCAGTTTAGAGTAACGGTGCCTTTGTTAAGCTGTTGTTGTCTCCTGCTCCTCTCACTTGAGTGCTGTCTACGGACACCTTAAGCAGATATTCTGTTGCCCTGTTGTTAGTATTAATAATTTCTAGAACTATAGAACAAATGTCAAGTTGAAATATATTCCAACAGGACATGTACCGCTTCTCCAGGCTGGTGGCCTACACCTTTTCAGCTCCTTGAAAGATGAATTTAATTCAAGATCTTTCACCCTACACTTCTGCTTTACAAATTGAATTTTTCTGAATCTTTTTAAGTTGTCCATTACCATTTTTAACCTGTTGCTAACTCATAAGAGTACTTCAGTTGCAAGATTTAATCGTTACTTTCCCAAAAAACTTTCAATATCTAGTAATTTTCCTAAAGAAATAATTATTTTGTTTTTATTAAAGCATACTGACTTCTGCTTGTTAAACCAGTAAGTTTTAGTTTGGTGCTGTTCTAACCAGGAGAAAACAGTATTTGTGTATGGTTTATATAACTACTTATATTAGTAAACAAACAGTTACTCCTTATTTATTACTGTGAACAATTTTTCCTTCTGCTTTCTCTTGGAGAAATAATTCAATTAAATCATTTTTAGCAGTTGTTAAATAATAAACTTGAACATCCATCATATATGACCATATTTATTGAAACAAAATTACATAAATATTTTGCCWAATATATGTGTCTTACCTATTAGCAAATGGAGTGCAGTGGTGCTGCTCAATGTGTTCTTCAGAGCTGCAAAGCTCATAGCTGTTTTCTTGAACCTACAGATATATATCAGATATRTTTAGAACTTATACATCCTTAAGGGAGAATTTTTAAATTCTCCTTGATTTTGGTAACAGGTAGATTTTTTTAGTCCTTAAATGCTGAGTGATTACAGTGTGTAGATCAAATTAAATTATTGACTGTGTTTTATTCTGCCTCAGGTGATTTGTAAGTCAGATGCTCCTACTGGGGATGTTCTACTTGATGAAGCTCTGAAACACATAAAAGAGACCCAGCCTCCTGAAACTGTACAAAATTGGATTGARCTGCTCAGTGGTAAGACTCAAACACAATGCGTTTGCTTTTTCTATGTGTATTTTTTTTCCTTCCAGTAAAACTAATTACCTGGCATCACTAGAGAGTGCACTCAAGGATTTGGGGAAGAAAGTATGCAAAACAGTTCATTAAGTCTTTCCTTTAGAGTGGTCTCTTGTCGATTGTAGCTTTTAATCGAATAGAAATAATGGTCACTTTTGACTTAACGTGGGCATAGAGAGGATTTGGGTCGAAGTGCTGGAGAACGTCTCAGCTTCCTGAAGGAGGCATATTAGCTGAGCCTCAAGTAGACCAGGCCCTGAGTAAACCAGGCCTGTACCCTGGAGAGGTGGCTTGTTCCRTCTGTAATTGCAAGGAAGGGTTAGTTCTGGGTATAGCTCTGTGTCCTCAGTGTGCAGTCTCGTTGATAAGGAGATAGGGAGCTCTCAGGTCTGATACGAAATGTAAGTGGTATTTTTGAGTCAGTGTTCAAACCAAAGGCTTCAACTTTGCATGCAGTTGTTCTGGTAAGTGCTCATAAATGGTTGCTGAAAAGATGAAAAGTCAGTTAGACTTCATCTTTATTGCTGTAGTTAACGTTTTCCGTGTTCTTCAGCCCRCTGTGGTTGTATTCTCAGAATGCCCAAGTTAAACTGAAATGAACACCATCCATTGCCCRTTTATTATTGTGCTTTTATTGTTTTTCTGAGTCAAGACTCATTCCCGGGTTTGTCTGTTGTTTTACAAAACACACCCAACACAGCTTCCCTAGACTGGATGGGAGCTGTTGTGCAGRGGAAGAAAAACACTCTTTTGTCAACAAGGTGACCTAGCTAGGTGAGGGGTCATAAGTCTTGAAGTTGTGGCCTAAACTTATGTTCTCTGTGTAACAATGTTAACAACCCAGGAGTTTCAAAGACCAACAGGATTTCTGCTGCTTTCAGTGCCTTCCTGTTTTGACCGTGTTCTTCCTGTTCTCCCTGTGTCACTGGAGCCAGCCCTCCTGCCACTTGGGTTCCTGCTTCATGCCCTGGCCTTCACCGGCCTCTTCCTCCCCAGCTTTGTGGCAAGGAGAGCAGGGAAGAGGGAAGAACAAGGTGGTCCATGACAGCAGGGCCGCATGGCCAAACCACCCTGGGTTTGCAGCCTCCAAAGGCCCTGTGTGTTTCTTACCCCCAACACACAGTCTGTGCTGACATTTCCCCTTTCTCCCAGTTTGGAGCACATCAAGTTAGTGCCAGGGCAGAAGAAGGTCAGCAAACCTGAATGAGCAAAGCTGTCGGTTTGTCTGGAGGCCTGATCCTGCTAAGCTTTGGCTCTGGGAAGGAGGTATTTGTCGCTTGTACTGTAGCTGAGACTTGGATCAGTCRTGTTTTCTTATTTATTTCTTAGTTGGGGTTAAGGAGCTTTGCATTTCCCATGGCTTAGACAGATGCCCTTTCAAGAAAAATATTTTGGTGTTTTATGTTGGGCTGTGATAGACTGCACTGAAAAAATACTTAGAATTTTATTTAGGAACCTGATCCTGGCAGATAGCTACCCCATCTGTAACTATCAGTGATACTACTTAAGATACTGCTTAAAATGACACAGCATATATGGAAGTATTTGCACAGATGTTTAATGCTACATTTGTCAGGCCATTTTTTTTCCCCTCCCAACCTGGGAATACTGAAAATGGGGGTCAGAATGTCAGGTCTTTCTGTAAATGTAACAAACATCTGTCTGTATTTCTACAAGCAAGTTTCTGTGTAATTGAGGGGAATGGTCACAAGGTGTCACCACACTACATTTTTTTTTTTTAGCATATAGAAATGTCAACCTAACAAAATAAGAAAAAAAAAAAAAGAAGAAAAAAAAAAAAAGAAATCTAGGAAATAATCTCTACCCTACAAAATCTGCTTTTATTACATTTCACTTCCTAGATTCATTCTAAAGAGTTTTGTTCATGGTCATGGGGAATCACACTCAGTACCATGTGTAGTTCAGTGTGCAGAATGGGCCTGGGTGGGTTCACAGGGTTTTTGTCTTTCATTCTACAATTGGTGTCATTTAATTTACTTGCTGAACTTGAATTTTACATTAAATATGTTGCATATCAATTTCCACGTCAATGGGAGAAACCTTAAACTCATTTCAGAGTTCCTTTTTATTATTGTTATGAATATACCAATGCTCTTTCAAAGACTTTCCAAGTACAAAACAAAATGCTATAGAAATTCTCAGATCACTTGTGGAAAAAGCCACCTGCATAAGAAATATTTTGTTATCTCTTCTCTTGCATCTTAAAATCCTTGTATCAGGGATTTTGTTATCCTTAAACCTTCTATCAGAGGTGGATTTTAATATTTTCGATAAGCACTCAGCTTGTTTTATAAACTTTAACCAAGGTAGGTATATCAAAGTGATTAACAACTGCTTTATCAGCAGCTGTTGCTTTGTGCTTTTTAAATCCCTCCCTACACACACATGCTGTATTATTTTGTGCTTTCCGTCCTCTACACACACGGGCACTAGGAGCCCAGTTCTCCTGCCTTAACAAAAAACCAGTAGAAATAATTTCTGCAGAAATAGTAAAGCTGCCACTCCCCATTTACACAGTGTCTTGGAGAGAGGGAGTAGGAAGGCAGAGTAGAATGTAAAGTTGAAGAAGCAGAAGAAAGAGAGAAGGACACGTGGGGCCGGTGTGCGTTAGCTTGTCTTCGTGGCTGATAAAATTCTTCTTCCTCTAGGCCCTGAGGTGATACGTGTTGAGAAGAGGCAAGAGGGCAGGCTTGGGGGATATTCTTTGTTTCTTATTTAAAAGCAACCAAAGAAAACCCTCTTTCTTCATGACTGTGTTTATTTCCTTCAGAGTAAGAGTGCATATTTGCTGTGTTCTTAGGCAGGACATAGCTGAGCTGACGTTGTGGACAAAATTTACATGTGTGCTGGGGCTCCTCGTTGGTGCTCGTAGGGCCTCACTGTGCATTTGAGGTGGTCAGAGAACTGCTGACCCGAGCACAGCAACTTGTTTTCAGCTATAGGATTYTGACAGCTCATTCTGCAGCACCGGGCGAGGGGAAAAAAATTTTAAAAAAAGCAACAGCACAGATTAAACTTGGCCTGACTGGCTTTTTTTTGCTTGCTCTTTCAGGTGAAACGTGGAACCCATTAAAGTTGCACTACCAGCTGCGGAACGTCCGTGAGCGGTTAGCTAAGAACCTAGTGGAAAAAGGCGTCCTGACCACAGAGAAACAGAACTTCCTGCTGTTTGACATGACCACGCACCCCCTCACCAACAACAACATCAAGCAGCGCCTCATCAAGAAGGTGCAGGAAGCAGTTCTCGAGAAGTGGGTGAACGACCCTCACCGCATGGACAAGCGCTTGCTGGCGCTCGTGTACTTAGCCCACGCGTCGGATGTGCTGGAGAACGCTTTTGCCCCGCTCCTGGATGAGCAGTATGATCTCGCCACGAAGAGAGTGCGACAGCTCCTGGATTTAGACCCTGAGGTGGAATGTATGAAAGCCAACACGAATGAGGTTCTGTGGGCTGTTGTAGCAGCGTTCACGAAGTAACTGCAATCAGACTGAAGTGTTCCCCCTTCTCACATGTAAACCAGTTGTTTCTCTTCTATTGACTATTCATGTTTTCTGTAATTTGTACCTTCTCACATGATGAATCGGCTCTTATGTCATGGGAATTAAGTGGTATATTCCCTCCTTCTCTGTGTATCTGTATGCAGGATTCTGCTGGTACAAGAGACCTTCCTGTTTAAAAGCAACAGAAAAAGGTTTTACTGCCATATTGGCATTTCACTTCAATTGCAGTTATCTGGAATACTTGGTTTAATCTATTTTTCATGTTTTTGTTGTTGCAGTGGTTTAAGCACCTCGAGGAGGAAGCGTGCAGGCAGTTGGATCACTAGTCTTAGCTGGCACAGCGTGCACATGCGTCGATAGGTCTGCAGTGCAAGTCATGGCAGTCCAGAAAAGGGCCTTCTTGCATCACCAAAGCTCCACATTGCAGGACACGGTGCACAGGCAAAGTTTCAGTTATACTTAACGAAATTACTTTGAAAGCAGACATGCCATTAAGCAGCTTTGTCAATAGTTCTTGTTAAAAGCCCCGTGGATTTCACTTTTATGTGTAAATCTCTTGTGTACTTACGCTTTCATTAGAACTATAACTGAGTCATAAGGCTAGTGTAGAGAGGTCCAGTTGTTTCATAAAACACTTTTGGGATGGGATACATTCCATTATGTTGTATATATAGTTCAAAATGTATATTAACAACCTCCCCCATCTTAGTATTTTGCAAGATTTACTTAGTTGTACACCTGGTGCCCCTTTACTTGCTCTCAGTCGTCACCATTTGGTGGAAGGAAAGGCCTCTCCTAAAGAGCCTCTGTGTGAAAGCTGTTTATTTCTACAGCCTTTGCCATCCGGGTACTCTCAGTCTATGCATTGCCTTTGATAATTAGTGTCTGGAAAGAGACCACTTTCTATCATCGTTTGTAATTTTTCTTTTTCTCCCGTATGGAAGAGGCTTGTTGTGACCAGTACAGTTCTTGAGTGCAGTTTTTAATTTTGTTTGTACACGAGTCCATGTTTGTCTCCTAAATGTCATCATCTGTTTTACTCTTTAAGAACAAAAAGTCAGTCCTAGCCGGTGTTGCATGTAAATGGTTAGCAAGTAATGACTGCAGTTCAGGTGATTTAAGATTTCTGTAACGGGACGCTCTACTATATTTTAATTTTTTATATACAATTATGCTGATTAGCACACTATTGTAAAAAATATATATATATAAAAACTTTGGCTTTTTAAAATTTATCGCCTCTTTACCACTGCTTGTTATTATCTCCCATTTGTTTCACAGTGTAAATATTACGCATTGAACAAATTAAGCATTGATTTATCTTCTTTTTTTTTCTCTTTTTTCCTCATGACAATGCAGATTTATAGTGGGGCTTACAGGTGTCTAGAAACTTCTTTTTGGTTACTGTTCAAAGCAAGAATACTTAGATGGTGTATAACTGTAGAGTTGAAATTTAAGGGATCCCCTAATCTGTATACTAGCTTTTTACCTACAGTAAATAAACTATGATCTTGAAAGTGCCTGAAACAGAGCAAGCATGTCATTTTTATTTTGGGTTGCTAATTAGCAAGGTTTTATCGCTTCAGGGAAAGCTTTAGTTAATACCCTTCTTATCAGAAAGGGAAGGGAGATGAAGCCGACCTCCTCGGGTGTCACTCGGATGAGCAGGATTCCTGCCAGGACAGAGCCAGTTACTTTAGGAGCTGGTGGCTGCCAGGGCGAGACCTTCACCCGGAGCCCAGCTCAGCTCTGTCCAGACTTCCACCTCATGTAAAAGYATCCAGATGCCCAAGTAGCTGACCTTAAAATGCAACTTGACTTCATCACACATCTATAACCTTTTTTTTATCGAAGGTTTTTAAGCTACGGTCCTTAACATTTAACACCATGCTGTTCTTTCAGTTCTTAAATGCTGTTTCTTTAGTGAAAGAGAAATTAAAGGTATATTGCAAAGTATTTCCAATCTGGTTTACAAATGAAAAGTTAAGCAGTGTTTTCTCAGTTGTAAGATGCTGTGTTGAAAACTTTGAGGAGCTTGGGCATGAACATTGGACATTTCTTCAAAACTCTCCCAAAACATGATCGCTTTAAGCATTGAGGGGGAGTGGAAGTTGCTGTGCTGCTCTTGCATTTCACGGGTTGCAGAATATTCTCTGTGCCTGGCAGATTAAATGAACTCGTTGCTTTTGTTGCCTCTCACTCTCTCCCTTGCTTTTTTTTCCCATTTTCCGTAGCTCTTTGAGCGGGAGRAAAGTAACGGATCCCGGTGTGCGATGGGGAGCGGTGGGTGGATCCTGCGGTTCAGAGCCAGCGGCCTGGACAGGCGCCTGGGGACATCGGGACTCCCTCCTTGTGCCTGGGGGAAAGGGAAGCCCCGCAGGCGCCGCCGCACGGGCGCTGACCCCGGGGCTGTAGGAGGGCCAGCAGACACCCTTGCCCTCCTCGCTGGCCGTTCCTGCAGTGGAGGAGGTTTGGAAAGGTTCRACACGGGAGGCTGCTCAGTTGTGCCAGGGCTGCTCTACCCTCATCCATCACCTGCCAGCGGCCCGGCTGGAGGCGCCTCTGGGTGCTCCGGAGGCACCTCTGGGCGCTCCGAGTCCTCAGCCGTCGCTCCCTGCGGCAGCAGCCCAGGCGAGGGCTGCTCTCCATACCCTGAGCTCAGACTGTGTCTCGAAGAAAAATAGACACTATTTCAGGGATTTTTTTTCTTTTAAACCAAAATTTCCACTTTAGTCAAAACAGGATTCAAAACATAAATCCATTTTTCCCCCCCAAAATTTTACACTCATTGAGATTTTTATCCTCCTGTCTGGTGCTTGTGAAATGACATTACAGTGCTCCTATCCAAGATACTGGTAAAATCTGTGTGCCATGCATGATGCTTTTGAGATCTGCATATGCTCCCAGGTGAAAATGGCATAAATTGGCTCTGAAGGACTGGAAACTGACTGCTCATGTGTTCATGCCCATTTCTCCTGCAAAGTGAAGATATGTATTAACTAACGTGTTCTCTGTGAACTGGACTGAATCTGTAATGAAACAAAATAAAGCACCCTTTCACGTTACAAGCTGCAAATGGTTAGTGTGTGTCACGTGCGTGCAGTAGCTGGAGGATTCATCTGCCAAGTGATTGCCAGGTATTTTTCCTGAGGTTCTGGCCTGCGCCGGCTTGGGGAGCAGAACGGAAGGATTCCATCAAGCCTCATTTCTGTCTAAAATGGCTTCAAGCAGTTTGACTAGTCAAAGTCTGTTACGTCCTCGTTTCCCCTGTCATGTCCATCTGTCTTTCTATATGGAAGTGTGTTTCTAGATGCAGAGGACCACAGACACTTTCCAAAAGTAGAAACTCATTTATTCTGTGGCAATGTTTGCAACAGTTTAATTGCTCGGGAAATCAGAGGTTTTCAAATACTGTGCAGGTGCCAGGTATAGCCGTGTGCCTTCAGGTAGGTGTAGAGGGGAGGTTCTTTGGGTGGGGAAGAGGCTCCAGACCAGAACCCTCGTGAACTGCCCAAGTTCATCTCTGAATTACGTGTAGAGTTCCCTCCTTGGGGTCTTGTTGGCTTGCGCCTACAAAGCTGCAACACTAAGCACAGGGGAAAGTCAAGGAGAATAAATGCCTTTTGCTTCAGCAGAAAGAGCTTCTCTAGAAAATAGTGATAATAAAAGCTTGCTCCTAAGCAGAAAGGATGGGCAAGGAAATAATGATGAGTAGTAGCCTCCAAACAAGTCATTGTTTTTTGTTTTGTTTTGTTTTTCCCTCTCAACTTTGGCCCCTGGTCCTCTTTGTTTCTTCTCTTTCCCCTATTTCATGTCTTGGTGATTTCCTCTTTCGCGCTCATGAACGATCTCTACTGATTCCATCTTGGCTATTTCCACTCCTGCATCTTTGTTACTAACCTTTTTCTTCCTTCCCTTTTACAGTTGCTCTACTCAACTCCAGCACGCTCTTCTCAAGTCGCTTTCCCCTCTGTTCCCTGATTCCTGCTGTTGCCTCAAGGAACCAGCCCTTCCTCGGCAAATCTTTTTTTAATGCCAGTACCAACTGAAACTGAAATCTGATATTCTGTAGGTTTTGGTTGACTTAAAGGATCTGGCCCTTTGCTATGGCTTATCTCGCATATTTTGTTAGGAGGAACAGGAACTGATGCTGATTTACCTTCAAACTGCTGTCTGCCTCTTTCAAAATCTGAGCTATTACACAGGGTGGACGTACGAGGATAATGATTTTGCCAGTAGCCTCCTGTAAGCAGWTCTTGTCCCGGCGTCAGTACTCAAAGAACTTGCTCTCCTACAGGAACTTTTCCTAAAATGAGGGCATTTATACAAGATTAATTTTCCTTTTTGGGTTCTCCGCCAAGAAAAAAATCGAGCTTGTACTGCAGCTCTGAAGAGCATCTTCTCCACTTGGCCATCTATTTTTATTGAAGTTATGGAGATTTCAGTTATTTGGAAAGTTYCTTCATTTTGGTTAAGAGGGGAGAAGTAGGAAAAGGAAAGAAGCACAGATATACTTACAATGYGTTCATAATTTTTCCTGGCAAAATAGACTAAATGTTTTGCTTTTTCACTTTTGCTTTCTGGATTCCCAGTATATCACTCTGTCCCAGGAAACATGTTGGAGCTTCTGTCTAGAACGAGTCCATCCTCTGGACAGCTTACTTGGAGCAGATGCTGAATGTGTCCCACACGACAGCACAAAGCAGAGCTGTGAATATTAGCAAGGTCCATAAACAATGGAGAGCCTTTATAGACCTTTCTGTTCTCTGCCTGTGCAAGTGAAACCAAATCATGTTACAACCAGCTTTTAAAATCCTGCTCTGACTCTTCAAGCTGCCGAGGACCTCAGTCATTCTGAAGATGAGATTGAGCGAGGTCATGAAAGTTTTGCAACACTAAATAGAGCAACGCCTACACACCATTAAATGTCTCAGGCCTTGTACTCAGAGCACTTGCAGAGGCAAATCAGCAAAGCCAGGTGACATCTGCGAGCGACACTCACAGGAACCCATCTCAGCGGCATCACTTGGCAGAGCTCTTGCTGGAGATTCACACGGATGTCTGAGCAAGACGTGGACCAAGAGGGTTTCCTTTCCCGGAAAGGGCTGAGAATCCTGATGCAGTTAATCTTATGCAATACTTTTATGACATTTCAGAAAGATCTTGTACAGATACGTGTTTTATTACTCTTTTTTCCCCCCTTGGGAAAGTGGAGCTGGCAGTGGAGCTGGGAGGACTTGCTGCTCCCCAGGCCGCAGGGTACAGCTCTCCATCCAGGCTGGCTCTGCACCCCAAGAGCACTCAGGTGGAGCTGGGCATCTTTCCCTGGAAAATTCTGACCCAGGAAACCTGCCCTGKGCATGCCAAGGACCTTGGAGGGTAGCGAAGACTCAATGAGCAAGAACCACAGAGCTGAACGTGTGGAGTCTCCACTGCAAACGGGGGCACTGCAGATGCGTCCGCTCCATGTTCGTGTCTATGTGACCAGTCAGCTCTTCATGAAGCCTTCAGCCAGCCAGGAAAGCACCGTGTGACGGGCCGGTTGTACTTACACCTGGAGAGTGCCTCTGACCTTCCTTAACAGGGAATATGCACAAATAAAGCAGGCCTGAAATAAAGATGGAAGTGTGCACGCGTGGGGAATAATGACGGAGGCCTGTTTTGTTGGATGTGCTGCAAACAGGAAATGGAGCTGAATCCAGTGAATTAATAAATTGCTTTCTGCAAATATGTTGCCAGATGTTAGGCACTAGCTATTGATAGCTTCCCTCTGAGATCCAGTGCAAGATTTACACACAACTTCATATTCTCAAATTGGAGACATTTGGCCAAAGACAGACAGAATCCCTTTTGCACAAGCAGCACTCACATACAGGAGAATTTGTGCACAGCATTTATAGATAGGTATTTAAATTTGCTTCTTGCCTTTTCTTTTTATATTAGGAAGCCAAGCCTACTTTTGATCATATTAAAGAATCCTTTATTTTTTTTTCCCTCCCTTTCTTCTGTAGAGAATGGAAAGGAGATGCTGCCAACGTCACATATGGCTGACAGTCAACATCAGGGTTAAGGATTTGTGAGCCATGAACAGCAGAAATGTCTGGCACATTTTCATTTACTCTGCGCAGTGAAGGCGAGAGACAGCCGTTATTTGAGCCATAATTGAAGTGCATCTTTGGAAGACAAATGCTTGAAAGACAATTAAAGTTATGAGCAGTCAGTGACTGTCCTGTTCTTAGCATGTCTTTCAGTTATAGYCACCAGCTGCACAGAAAGGCTTCAGAAACTTCTGAATTTGCCCTGTGAATGGCATTTGAGACTGGTGTTCAGCCCTTTGGGGCATCATCATGGGCAGATGAGTCCCTGTTGCTCCAACATCCACCTCTCAAAGCAACTCAGCCTGCAGATTGGCCCCTGGAAGATCTCGGATGTGCAGCCAAGAGCCAAGGCAGTTCTGGAAGCTTCTTCCTTCCAGGTTTGTCTCCTGCTCCATGCCTGGAAACSCAAATGTGTGGCCTGCACCCAGCACCGGCACCTTGGTGGGACTGCCAGGACATGCACTTATTCCCTTTGCAAACGGAGCAGCCTGGAGCAAGTCAATGGGGCWGTCACCAAACACGGGGGACAATCAAGTAGCAGAGAAGATGCCAATGCCTGAAGGACTCAGCCTTCCCAGGAAAGCCGCTCCTAGAGCTCCGTGTGTCCCCAGTAACTTGGAATGGGACAGATGGAGAATGAAAAAAAAAATGTCAAAAAAGAAAACTCAGCTGCAATTTCAGTTTGCTAAAGATTGATTCATGTCATCAGTTGTGGTGATTGGTAGTTTTTTTTTAATTTAATTAAGTATATACATTGCTAAGTAATTAAAAAGCACGAGATATTTCTTGGGATTTCTTTGGAAATCACAAACCACTTCCAGTCTTTTACCCTGTCCACTTTGAGTCACAGGTGTGAAGCAACCTTGATGAGGACTGTTAAAACCTTGGGAAAAGAAAGGCAAAGCTTCAAAGCAAGTGTCGCTTGTTGGTGTAAATCACGATTTGCAGCTGAGAGTAGAAGAGCTTCCCTCTRACCAGGCTTTTTAGACACATGGTTGGAGCAGCTGAGGAGGGATGTGGTGGTGGGTTCAGATCCTTGGAGTATCCTAAGAAGCCAACAGCTCTGTAAGTACTTTTGGAAGTTAGGTTGTRATTTTACAGCCTCTGCTTATTTTCATGCAAGTTCTGCTGCTTCTCATCCACAGTATAGGTAAACTGTGTATTTGCTGAGTTTTCTGATGCTTAAGCTGGTCTTTTTAAGCTCTATGTGAGAGACACTATCTTTTGGCACTCCTTACACATCAGATTCAGATTTATTTTCTTTGAAGAAAGAAAAAAATCTAAAATGAGCAATACAAAATATAACTCAAGTAGTCCAGAAATAGAAAGCTCTTAGGATATTTCTGTGTATTTCTATGTCTTCTTTACTTGCCTTGCTCTCAGATAACTGAGGTTTCTCATTTAAAGCTGTAAAAGCTAATAAAATTGCTGTTAATTACRGTGATTTTTCAAGGTGAAGAGAGGCTGCTAGCAAAACTAGTCCAGTCTCCTGGCCCAAGGCTATATTCATTACCCMCTGTGCATCCCAGGTTTTGCCTAAATTGGGCTTTCTAGTAAGACATCTTTATTATAGAGAGCAACATAGGGAAGATGCTAAGAGTTGGTGCTGAATATCATACTGTAGAGAGGAGCAAATGGTACAGTAAGAGAGTTCCCCACAGGGAATAACAGTTCATGCTGTACCTCTGTGTACCTTGAGACTTTCATTTATMAGACACTGATGCAAGACTAAGGAGAGACAGGTGCCTTTCATTTCTTTGCTTCGTACTTAGGTAGTTTTATCTGTATGGGGTTAATCTGGTATTAATGCTGTGCAGTTGTCTTGCATATCTCATGCTTGGTATTTCAACTGAAACTCCTAGCTGATATGTTGTGATGTTTCCCCTGAGAAGAGGCATTTGCAATGTAACCAAGTCCCCTTGCAGCCTTTCCAAAAACAAACTGGTGGCATGTCAGTAGGGAAGAGCATATAGGCCCACATATCCCTGTAAAATCAAGTGCTAGTTGCTATTTGAGCTCCTCACAAGGACACCTTCATGCTGGGATAGRAAAGCTTTTAATTCTGCAAGTTCTTTTCAAGGGGCCTCAGCTCTGAAGGATCTTTAGGGTGTCTGAGGGACCCTCCAAAGCCTCCTTAGCAGCTTTGCTCTGGGTGCAAGTCCAGAATCAGCCTTGGAGAGTCCCCAACCTGGTTGGATGCAGGATGAGTTAACAGAAGGTTCTTGACGGCTCGGTGCTCACCTAAGATCCCACTTGGCCCCATATGGCTCATGTGAATTTCAATACTATATTTTCAGACCTCTTTAGGCTGGACAACAATCCTGGATCTAGGTAGGGATACAGTTGCCTCCATTTCTTTCTTTATTTTTTTTTAATATTAAGAGCAACCTGAATACCAAGACATGAAAGTTCACCAGAGCCTGTTTGAGCCTGTAAGTGGGTCACAAGCCACTAAACAGTTGAGTGAAATAACGCCCACACAAATCAAATAAAAGAGAAGCTAACCCGTATTTAAAAAGAAAAAAAAATCTTTCTGGATGCTTTAGTCATAGTTGTCTTAGCCATGAAATATTCAAGATACTGAATTCAGTGGCCAAGCACTTAGTGGGGAAATGGCCACAGAGGATGTCTCCAAACCTGAGCACAAAATTATCACCCTGCCACTAGCAGGTAAATTACTGCTCCTTGATGCTCCAGGGACCTGGGATACAGGTGACTTCAATCAGAAATGATGGGAGTCATGAGCATAAACCTTGGGAGCAGCGTTTAATAACGGGTTTGGAGGAAAAAAAATAGCCAAAAATATCTTGTATAGAAGTCTGCTTAAGACTGCTTCTGACTTGAAAAGCTGGAGGGTGGGAAAAGCCGGACAAAATCCTTTGCTCAGAGACAGGTGTGGAAYGGAGCTGCAGTGGAAGTAACTGTTGAACCTGTGCGGAGGTGTTATCGCCTCCCTGGTAATTAGAGCACAGCCCTTGGCCTCTAATTACCCTGGCCTTGYAGGGCTCCCCCAGCAAGTCCCGCCTGGCCTTGCCTGGGAAGGAGGTGATGGGTCCCATCCTGAGTATCCATGGGGATGCCAACAAGCCCGTCATGCCGAGCAGAGCTGCTCAGTGTTTCCTTATTTCTGCTGGAAAATGGAGGGGAAAAGTCAGAGATAACTCAACTGCTGTCCTGTTCGGGGCTTGTCTTGTTGACACCCTGTTGGTTTTCTGGTGAAAGGTCCTTAAGCAGACAAGGATCTGTCTTTCCACATAAGTGCCTTGTACCCAGGTGTGTGTACAGGCTGCTGGGCCCCCCTTGGTTGGAGGGGACRGGAGCCTCCCGTCCTCCTGTCAGCGCTGACAGCGATTGCTGATCAACAACAGAGACAGAGGGGCAGAATTTCATAGTCAGGTGAAGGTTGCTGAGAAGGTAGCAACCTGCATACAGAGCAGTGGGGACCTCGCGTGTCTGGTGTCTGCTCCAACGCTTTGCATGCACTGTCCTGGCAGCCTAAGTGGATGTCTCTCCAGCGGGAGGTCTCCTGCCATCTGCTTGTCTGAGCCTGAGCTTAGACGTGCCCTGCAGCAGCCATCCAGGAGCAAATCCACTGTTGGTCCTCCCACTGGCACCATCACATCAGAACCGTGTGCCCCGGAGGTGGGAATGCCCGGCGGACAGTCCCTGCACCAGAATTTGGGACACCTTGCATTTAACCAAAAAGGAACACCTTGTTGGATCGCTTTACAACCCTTACTCATTGMGGTAGCCTTGTGGTTGGCACTGGCTTACAGGCAGCTCTCTCTGTGCTTCCACCATCCCAGGGCGCACAAAGGACGTGCAACTGTGGAAGTGCCATTATTTGGGCTTTTCTCCTCAAGCTGCCRTTGGGCTCTGTTTGTAGATGCTGGTGAGGGCACAAAATACTTGCAATGTCTGTAAATGCACCCTGAAATCTATAGAAAGCCTGCTTTTATCGGCCAAAAGGCTGCTTTAGGAGGAAAACCAAACCTCTTGACCTTGAAATAGATGGGCTGTTTTTAGACTTCGGAAGCTGGCTAGCTAGCTCCTGTAGTTACAGCCCATTAATCACTGCCGTATTATACGCACCACGTAAAACTTAAGTAACAGAATTGCTGCCCCATCGCCATATCCCCAACTAAAAGCTGATAAACAGAACCACTGACCTCAGCTGGTCGATTTAACCCGATGAGTCATGGTCTTGGGGCCACATCTGCTTCCTCTGCTAATATTCTTGTTCCTATTTATTTTTTTTTAAGAGTGCCCTGGCATACTGCATACCACAGAACAGCTTCTCTAATGGGCAGCTCCAGAAATAGCAATATCCCATTAGTTCTCCCTCCTTTGTGAGGATTTCACAGTCGCTATTTCTTCTGCGTGGAGGCAGAGCATGGCAGCGAGGCTGCCTAGCAGTGGATCCTCTTAAGTTCTCCCTTTCAGAAGCACCCTGCTATCCCCTGGCTTTTGCATGAGAAGTGAGTGGCAGAGAAAGGCACAGCAAGGCGGGCGCTCCTCCGCTTCAGCTGCTGGGGAGCGAAGGCCGTGCCATGACCGATGGATTTGCCCGCAACAATAGCCGCAGTGTGGGGCACAACGGGATTGTTTCRCTGGAGAACATTGGCTGTTTCAGCTCCCCTGAGTGGGAGACATGGGCTGGTGACAAGCAGGGTGTTGTTGTTGTCGTGCAGGTGGTCCATAGGAGACAGCTTGTCTTGCACTAGTGCCCCCAAGGCTGAATGCTGTGCAGAAACGGAGCTGAGAAGCCCTCTTGCTGACCCAGTTGCTCCTAGTTTGCCCGCAAGTTCATAGCCACGTTAGTAATTTTTAAATTAATGCCATTCGTCACCTCATCAGCATATCTGGGTTGGTCGCAGCGGGTGAATCATAGTCTCGGGGCCACACGTGCTCTGGACTGATGCTCGAATGGGCGCACGAGCGGTGACCGCACAGGAAAGGCTGAGACCGGCTGGCCAGGGAGCGAGCGCTCTGCCCGTGCAGGCAGCGGTGCTGCGAGCGGGGCTTGAGGGAGCAYTGACGCTCTGCAGAACATCAGCGGGTGAGAAACCAAAGGGACCCGTGGAGACGTCAGAAAYAGGTCCAATAGTGCACAAGCTCACACCATTGGAAGTAGTATTTGCTCAATAGCTCTCCATGAACTCTCTAATTCCAGCCTCGGAAACACTGAAGCCAATATCGCTAGCCAGCCTTGTGCCCATGCCCAGCTGCAGCACCACAGGCTGCAGCTGGTGTCTTTGGTGTCTTTCAGGTGCCTTTACTCCAAGTGAATTAGCCCCAAAGCAGGTCAAACCTTCCATTAAATCCCCCAGACCCACACCAGAGCAAAGGCTGGGTCATTTACCAGCCTAGGAAAGAAACAGGAGTATCCACAGCCCTGGTGTGACTCGCTTCCATGTTCACCAGACTAGGGGTGTAACAGGCACCTAAGTCCGTCCTGTCAGTGCACCCTCATCTCCTCTGGTGCRTCTCCATCTCCCCCATCCCAGTGCCGGGCTCCCTGGGCGGTTATTCTCTCTGTTCTGACTCTTTACTGTCACAGAAATGGGATTTATATCATGGGATATTTAGCTGGACTGCATTAGTATTTGACATTTCAACTCTGGGGATTTTCCAGTGATGTTATTTGCAAGGTTTTTCTTTCTTTCTTTTTTTTTTTTTAACTGCTGTAAATTGCAGTTCTTTAAGGACAGTGCAACAGTTAAATTTTCTAGGTCTTTCTCATTTTCTAGGTCTGTCTCTTTGTCTCTGTCTTTCTGTCAGGACTTCTAGTTATTTATTWGATTCGCCGGGTCTCTGGATTTCCTCTGCTTTGCTACAATGCACCCGTGTCTCGACGACACAAAAAAATGTTCATTTGAAGTAACAGCTCTGGCTCACGGTGCTTTGGGTTTGATACAAAAATAGAACTGTGTGGAAAACTTTGTTCTTATCTTATTCGGAATCCAAGACCTCAGGTACTTTGAGGTGAACARCACCGTCAACTCAGAATATGAACCTGGACTTTGGGTGCTTTAAGGTGACCACTGAGGTATCTACAGAAGAACATTTTATTGCCTCTCAAGATTTTGAAGATTATATGCTCTGTAGGACTACAAAAATTCAGGTGTGCAGGATTTTTCCTTTAGCCAGCTTGTATTTTCTTATCTTTGTATCTCTTTAGATAAGTAATAGAAAAGGAAATACCACAGAGTGAAAGCCTAAACATGAAGGCATCCAGAACAGGCTCCTGTGGATGRTGCAATGGATATGAGACCACAAAGAAACACCAACTGCTGCACAACTAGAGATTTTTTTTTTCTCAGAGAATTCTTCTAATCAAGAATTTTCAAGAGCAACAAATAGAATTCGGAGAGAAACTTGGGCACCTCTAGGGGAAAAAGAAAGGTGCCTCATACATCATTGGGGCAAAAGCTGACAGATGGAATTAAAAGCCTCTCCTGAATATCTCATCTAAGTATACAACATTCAAAAGAGACTTCATCACCCACAAAGATATTCTAACCATTGCACTTCRTTATCCCTGGCCATCGCTTAACAATATTACATTGCCTTTCTTTGTACAGTGCATCTGAGATTCCTCACAAATGGGGAAAGCAGATGAAAGCAACTGCACGTAGGTATTGCCTAGATAAGGACAATAAGATGGGCTTATTTCACTTAATAGAATGCCAGCTTATCAAATGGTGAAGAATTCAGGAACTTCGTGGCTAGATCTGATTTTGGAAACGTTATCCCTCTTTCAAAAAGCTGCTTGAATGTGCTGAGAAATATTTATTCATTATGAAGAGAAGGAATAATTCCTTTTTTCTTCCTTCCTCCCCCACTTCACCCCCATCCACAGATCCACATGCACCCAAACAATTTTAGACAAAATTTGGACCTAATTCTCCAAACAAAGCATACTTGATAGCAGAGGCCAGGCCAGATTCAAGCTAAATTTGTAAAAGGAGCTCCTCGGATGAACACTGCTATCTGACTGCAAAAGATTATAATGAATAACAAATGTGCCAAGGTTTTTRATGAGAGAAATGAGTAGGCTTTTTATGGACTACTCTGTCTGCAGCAAGTGGTTCCTGTTCCAGAGAGGAGAGGACATGGAACTTGGGGCTTGCGTTTTCCCTGGCTGCACTTCAGTCTTGAAAAAGTTTAGGGTGACCCTGATCTAATTCAGTAAGTATGAAATTAGATTGATGCCCTTGGTTCTGGCAGCCTGTGAATTTGGCCCTGYGTTGGGGAAAGCAGGAATGCTGCTGGTACCCTGACCTTGGGCAGGGTGCCCTGGTACCTGTGGGGCAGGATTTCTCAAAAACCTGGCTRATCTTTGGAAAAAAAAATTATTTTTGTGCAGCCCGTGATTAATATAATACTGACAAGATGCTGGTTTGCCTACCTCTGCTATTKGTGTATTAAATTTATGAGTGCCTCTCTGAAGATGGATTGCTTTGGAAATGAGCATCCTTAAAGCAGCACTTGGTATCTATTGCATGGATTTTATACAGATCTTGTAAGTCCTTGGTGCCAGTTTTCTGCAAGAAAAGCTTCCTTTAGAGCCTTTTTTACTATCCTGTTGAGACGGCACACAGAGAATTCAACAATCACTGTAAATAAAATATGCTGCTTTCTCCAAAAGGCATGTGCAGATATGGATTTTTGTGCAAAAATCATGTTCAGCTCTAAAAGGKGCTTTAGTAAATGATGTGTGCATGTACCCAAGTACTTAACAATGAAATCTCATCAATTATAAACCACAGAGGAGCTCTGCTATAGGCAGAGAGGGGAATGATGTGGATTGACAACCTAAAAATAGAAGTCCAAGAATTCCAAAAATCATTCTAGCAAAGAAAAATAAACACAGCATCAGAGCAGGTGTGTGAGAATAATTTCACATAGTCATAGGTGTATAGTAATATACAGTGCAGGATGACTGGTTTGGTGAAGAAATTGAGGGGAAAAAACATATTTTACTGAGAAGCTCTATGAAGATCTTTAGAACCCGATTGCTTTAACCTTRGATTTTTCATATCTACGTCTTGCAAACCACTTGGTCTCTGCAAATATACCTCCAGTCAAGTTTTTCTAAGAGGTATATTTGACCCAATATATTCTAGACCTGAAATCCAGGCATGTGATGACTTTGGAAGGCATATTGAAGAGAGATTTTAGAGAATCATATCTTGTAGGTGTTGCAAAATAATCTTGGAGAGGCTTTTATTGTGAGGAGCTTGGAAAATGAATGTTTTGTGAAGAYAGATAGCTGAATGTTTAAATCGGAAACACTTAGGCTGTTACTATTGACTTATTTTGGTCTGTTAAGGTAATACTTATGTAGAGTATGTAACGTAGACTTCTGCAGTGAATTAATAACTTAATGGATAGTATCCACAACGAGTTTTCAGTAAAAATGGGCAGGTGTATATTTTTTTCCTTTAAAGTTTAGATCTTGTTGATAGCAGCATTTTTGGATCTTCCCCCACCCCCTGCCATCTGCTTGAACTGCTTGGGGCAGATGATAAGTTGCACTTTTAAGTTTCATGCTGATTTAAACTAAGAAGTTCCCAGCGGTTACCCACGGCAGGGCTCTGCGAGAAGTCCACGGTGTCTGCAGAACTTTGCATCCCAGCACGGCCAGTAATGAAGCACGGGGAGAATGGTGTAAATGGAGACAAGTCTCTGCTCAAACAGTCTCTAAAGGCAGCATAAAAGGGTTGGATCTGCACCACTATTTCTTGTTATTATGCCCATTTACAACAGCTGATGCAAACTAAAGCCATCTCAAAGTCACTGGTTTTCATATTCTGTGTGTGGCTTCATCCAGCTTTGTGGAGAATTCTCTTATTCAGCCCTTTCTGTCTCTTTTTTGCTGCACCTTGTTGCAGAGGAGACGTGGGCAGCATGTTCTCCCTCGTGGGCTTTGCCCATGCAAGACAAAGACTGGGACCATGGCTGTGTTTGGTGGAAGCTGGACAGACAGAGGCTCTYTTGGAGTAAGATATGGTTGTTCTGGAAAATTGCTCTGCTTGGGGAGTAATTATTTGCAAGTAAAATTGAAACAAAGGATCCACCTGAGGACCTAGATAACTSAAAGTTATTACTGCAATCACGCTGGTTAATTTTTCCATGCAGACAAGGAAATCAACAGGATTGTTGATTTTAGTCTCCTTTCGACCAGAAATTATAATAGCACAGTCAGCAGAGGCTTCTCCTGCTTCTCTGGTTTATCTCAGCTAACATGTATAGATATGTCTGTAGAAAGGGCAGAGAAGAGGAGCAATATAAAGATGAAGGGTCTTGGTTTTGCTTCCTAAAACACAGCCAGCAGAGCTCCCAACTTACCAGGAGCTGYGCTGGGTTTTTCCTTAAGATATGGGCTAGATTTTGGAAGCTGCTCAGATAAAGTCACGACTTCTCTCTCTCTATCCCAGATAGAGTGTGGTCCCCAACACTTAGCAAGCCTTGTCCCACCTTGTGCACACCTTGGGCATGAAGATGCTTTACTTTTGATTTGCACTTTCTTCTTTTCTGACCACCTTTGTTCGCAGGGTCAAAGCTGTCACTAAACTCTATACCAAAGTGTCACCGAATCATCTACAGAGAMAGTTTGGAGTAATATGAGTCTCAGCAACTGGGGTTTCAGGGTGAGCTGAGGGCAGGGAGAACTCAGCAGATMTGCCTTGCTCACCACACGTCGCTCAGATGCCTCCAGGGTGCAAGGGACACGGTTGGGGTGACACCTCGGTGGCACGGACATGGTCAGGGTGACGCCTCGGTGACACGGGTCAGGACAGAGTATCCTGCTGGCTCTGGGAAAATGTGACAAAACTGCAGATTTCTCAAGCTGGCGGAGGGATAAAATGTTGCCACGAGCATGACTAAAAGCTTTGTGACCACTTGGAAAGTACTCCAGCTTTCACTCAAACTTAGTCCTGCTGATAAAGGCACACAAGGCTATATGACCTGAGCAGCATTCAAATCCCTGAAGCTGAATATTATGTCCCCTAAGACTTCATCTGATCTTTCTCCTGTTTCCTGGGTTCTCCCCTTTTTCTTCCACGGTCCTCTAGGTTCCAGGAACTTGYTTCCTTATCTAAAGCAAAATAAAATGAACCTTGGGGCACTGTATGTGGAAAACACTAAGAAAAATACTTAATGTCTACTCAGCCACTTACCAGGAAACACGTGAACACACGAAATGATCYAGATCCTGTTGATAACTGACCAGGATGCAAAACACACATATTGCAGAAGCCGACCCACACTGATGTACCCACATTTAATTGGGATTTTGATGTCCRTGCTGCATGATAAGCTCATAACCTTCAAAAAGAGCAGAAGGCAATAGCCCTCCTCAGAGGTAAAAGGGAAGAATGTAAAATATTTCTGGCAGCCTCAAGAATTACTGATTGCAGTGGTAGATAAAGATGACCTTTCAATGGGGAACTGAAAAATAAACCCCCCTCACATAATGTATGGCATCTTTCCTACCTTTTGGCCTGCTATCCAAAGATACAAGCGATGACTGATTTACATTCTGAAGCGAATGCCAGCAGCTGCCGATGAAGCAACTTAGCTAAAGACCTTGTTTCTGAGTGTCAGCTTTGCTTCCCTGGCAAAATCCTGCCAGAAGGCCAGTGCTTTCCAGCAGGAGCACTAAATCTGCAGCACCTTGGAGCATGAGCTCCCCATGGCTGCAAGAAAGGGGGGCAACTCATATGATGGACTGTACAGAGATTTAAATGATAGCGTAAGAGGATAAGGAAGAGAAAGTGAAGTMGCTTTTCATTTTGCTTCTGTATCAGTGTTAACACCCCTGAAAGAAGTAGACTTGCTCTGATTTGAATAAGAAGGGGTTTGGGCATAATCTGTCCTCTGGTTTTAGAGATGTGCTGTATAAGCAGACTGGACCTTTTAAAAAATGATGATAACAGATAATCTGAAGTTGGTGCCTACTTTTTTTTTTTTTTATTTTGCTGCACATGCTGCTGCTGCTGCAGCTAATCATCCCATTTGCATGACTACTGGTTCTTAAACCCTGCCAGAATCGATCGCAGGGGACAGCCCTGCTTTGAAATGAGGGTCTGCGCTCTGGGCAGCTGTCCCAAGGTGGCCGCTTGTTTCTGCTGTGGGAGCTCTGGGGATTTTTCACGTCCTGCCAGAAGATAATCACAGTTTTGAACTTGGGAGTCAAAGGGAATAACTCAGAGTTTCTCTTGCTTCACCCCCCAATCCATCTTGCTTTTAGAAGAGCTCTCTGGGAGAGCAGAGGAGTYATTTGTAAGCACTGCTGTTCTCACACGGATAAATAATGAACTGAGGATTGTTCAAAGTYAAGTTCCTAGAAACAAGGTGGAAAAATCATCTAAGGAGATCGAATCCACCTGATATCGTGCTGCTTTTGGGGGGAGCTGTGCCAGGAAAGGTCATCTGAGTAGCCCTGATGACATAGCATGGGATAGCATGGGATGGGATAGCATGATGRGATCATGAGGCTGACCAAAGTTAGAGTACTCCAGAATCTGTCACCAGAGAAATTTCAGCAAACCCTGGGCTGTGTTAAGGGCTCCCCATTGAGCCCCCTCTCTGGGCCAYGCTGCAGTATGGTGATGTGGAAGGAAAACACGGAGGGAGATGGTGCTCCCGACCRCGCTGCCTGCTGTGGGGTGGCACGTGGCTGTCCATGGTGGCTGCCTTCATTGTCAGGAATCACACCCCTGCTTTGTGGCACCCCTTGCCAGACCRTGGACCAAACTGTAATGCCGCTGCTGGGCACAGCTTTGAGTCAAGCTGATWGTTCAGTGATGCTGGGGTGGCCTTTGGTTTAGCCCTGCGCTCCTGGAARCCCACGAAACCCCTTCCCAGAGCCTTGTCCCGGGACATGAGTTAGAGAGAACGGGGCTTGAAAGAAAACAGAGCCACTGACCATTTCCTTTAGTGGTGGCCAGGAGGAGAGAGCCTGAAAAAGCAGCCAAGCAAGCCTTGAAAATATGGATTTTCATTTCAATAACCTGAGGTTTCTACTGAAGAGAGAGAGAGAGAGAAAAAAAAGGAACTTGATTAAAAATATATATATATTTTAACTTGTTTTTGTTCCTCTATGGGTAACTCGCTCTGCATTTAAATCATTCTTTTGCAAGCTGCGCTTCCTGCTGACTGCGGCCAGAAGGTACAAGAGGTACCGGGGAAAATAGTTAAAGGACTTGAGTAAACCTGGGAGCGCGGGGAAGCAGCGGCCGCGCGCGCGGAGCGGAGCGGGGCGGCCCG